TTCTCCGCGAGGCCTAGAATACTTGAACGCTGTCTCATTCATTGATGTTAACGACTCGTTCATCTACGTAATCAAAACGTTCAAATTACAGGTTTCCAAGGGAACACTTTGGAAAGGCATACGGAATACAAAATACTGTCAGTAGTTTGGTGAACTTTATTAATTTACCAATATTCTCCTGGTACAAATACAGCCTGGAAAGTGACCCACTTGGGGTATGTATATGATTTTATGTATACATTTTGACATTCTATTTTGTATTCAGATAGGGAACAGAAGGAGATAATAGATAAGGTCGAATCGTTCTACAATACCATTCAACTATTAGCCGTTTTGTTATTAATATTTATTTATTTATTTATTTATTTGTGAAGACGTATTGGTATTTTGAGTGAAGATTGAGGTATTTAAACTAAAACTAAACAGTAAAAATTAATAAATATCTTGACCAGCCTGCAGCCTTTTTGAGGATTATACATGTACATTAAAAAGATATACATTTCTCATGGCATTGCCGCCCAGGTGACACGGGGATTTACAATTATCCAATGACACCTCTCTCTGTGATAGTTAGCATTTTGTTCTTGTTTTGTAGCTCGGGGTACTGTTCCTGGGAATATGCTTCACGGCCAGCAGTTTACCTTTCTACCTTCTTTGGCATCGGTGCCGCTCCACACAATAACAACCACATGTACAGGACAGAAATTGTGGAACGGCGCTGTAGTACGGATACAATGAAGTGGCAGTGGACTAGATCAAGACCAAGATCTAGATATTTTATTGAAGTCTCACCCATAAAAAAGATTAACACATTAAGAACAATAAAACATGGCAGTTCTATATAGAACTATGTGACTGAACATCCCCTAAAATATAAATGAAAACACTTCATAAATAAAATTTCTTCTTAATTCTTTTTTTATTTTTATTTTTTTATTTTTTATTTTTTAGGAAATATGAGGCTTCAATTTGTCAAAAAGTATTATTTGGGCTTTTTATTGTTGAAATCAGATGTACGTGTTTTTATACGAGATAATTACATGCATTAAATATTATTTTGCCTCGTTCAGATTTAAAGAAAAAGGGCAAAAACATGTACCTGTAGCACCTGGAAGTTATTGTGTTAAAACCCCATGTCCCTTGCATAATTGATTTAAAGCAATCTCAGCTTCCGATTGCAGCAGAGGCGATCAGTTCTTTCTCCTCCAGATGGCGCTAGAGTACGGTCTGGTTTGAAAACTTACAAACACTGCTCAGATCAGGGAATTATATCCGATATAATTCCCTGCTCAGATGGGGCGGAGAAGTGGACCATATACGGAATGCCTGTGACCTACATGTCATTTGTAGGTGGGTAAACGTACTGATTCGTTTACATTTGCCATTATGTGGAACACAAATGTATAGACTTTTTATTTTTATTTTAATATTTTATTGTTTAAAAGCTCTACAGAAATCTGTTTTGCTCTTTTCACTGTCATTCATCCCGGAGAAAGTCCAGTGTGATGACTTCATTCTGCTGACTTATAGAGTACATGGAAATAACTGAATTCATTGCATGCTGTAAATTGACTCCATCGAATACGTCCGAATCTACTGTAACTGCCGAGGCCTATACCTATAGTTACAGCTACCAAATGCTGCTCACGCTTACTATTTTAGTTTACTAATAACAATTTTATTGTGATCCAAACCCCAATGTACGTCAGTGGAGGCAACTCTCCAGAAATAAATTAAACAATAAAAAAACAATCTAATTATTAAGTTGTTTTCTGCACTACAGTTGCAAATTGTTTTCTGGAACTCAATTTGCTGCACTACAGCCATTGCAAAATAGCAAAAATATACAATGTACCTTTAAATTACTTTGGAAAAAATGAATACCACAGTGCAAGTTGTAAAGCATATCTCTTCTTCATGGTGAGAGAGAAATACGTTTTCCATTCATTTTCTAAAAATATGTACTGCTTCTCGATCAGAACATAGCTATTGTACATGTATGATACAAACAATATCATAAAATTCTTCCAAATGTAAACACCAGTACTGAAAAAATTAAGTTTGTTAATTGCTGTAAAACTTTGAGCGTGCAGATAAAAATGGGGTTATGTAACTGAACGTAAGCATGTTTTTAAGTCATATGTGTGAAAGTACATGTATTTTACACGTTATCCATTACATCAGTCTGCATAATTGCAGATGTGAAACACATGGCGACCCCATGGCACTGAAGTACGTACACTGTAAATATTGAAGACGTTCTAAAACATTTTGTCAGTTTGCAGATGGCAAGGTGGAAGTTGTTATGTGTTGTCTTGTGTATTTTGGAGGTTTCTTTCAACTCTGTCACGTTATATAGATGGCCAGCCTTCATGTACAGAATCGAAATAACAGCGGGAAAAGAAAAACCTTCCCTCTATGAATATGTACATGAAGGCTGGCCATCCATATAACGTATCATGTATCTGATTGCAGTGGTCTTGTTATCTACACGCAAGAAACAGTCGTAGAGGACCGCGTNTTTCATGGCATTGCCGCCCAGGTGACACGGGGATTTACAATTATCCAATGACACCTCTCTCTGTGATAGTTGGCATTTTGTTCTTGTTTTGTAGCTCGGGGTACTGTTCCTGGGAATATGCTTCACGGCCAGCAGTTTACCTTTCTACCTTCTTTGGCATCGGTGCCGCTCCACACAATAACAACCACATGTACAGGACAGAAATTGTGGAACGGCGCTGTAGTACGGATACAATGAAGTGGCAGTGGACTAGATCAAGACCAAGATCTAGATATTTTATTGAAGTCTCACCCATAAAAAAGATAAACACATTAAGAACAATAAAACATGGCAGTTCTATATAGAACTATGTGACTGAACATCCCCTAAAATATAAATGAAAACACTTTTCATAAATAAAATTTCTTCTTTTATTCTTTTTTTATTTTTATTTTTTTATTTTTTATTTTTTAGGAAATATGAGGCTTCAATTTGTCAAAAAGTATTATTTGGGCTTTTTATTGTTGAAATCAGGTGTACGTGTTTTTATACGAGATAATTACATGCATTTAATATTATTTTGCCTCGTTCAGATTAAAAGAAATAGGGCAAAAACATGTACCTGTAGCACCTGGAAGTTATGTGTTAAAACCCCATGTCCCTCGCATAATAAATCTAAAGCAATTTCAGCTTCTGATTGCAGCAGAGGTGATCAGTTCTTTTCTCCTCCAGATGGCGCTAGTGTACGGTCTGGTTTGAAAACTTACAAACACTGCTCAGATCAGGGAATTATATCCGATATAATTCCCTGCTCAGATGGGGCGGAGAAGTGGACCATATACGGAATGCCTGTGACCTACATGTCATTTGTAGGTGGGTAAACGTACTGATTCGTTTACATTTGTCATTATGTGGAACACAAATGTATAGGTTGCTTATTTTTATTTTTATTTTAATATATTATTGTTTTAAAGCTCTACAGAAATCTGTTTTGCTCTTTTCACTGTCATTCATCCCGGAGAATATACGGGAAAGTCCAGTGTGATGACTTCATTCTGCTGACTTATAGAGTACGTGGAAATAACTGAATTCATTGCATGCTGTTGACTCCATCGAATACGTCCGAATCTACTGTTACTGCCGAGGCATATACCTATAGTTACAGCTACTAAATGCTGCCCACGCTTACTATTTTAGTTTACTACTAACAATTTTATTGTGATACAAAACCCCAATGTACTTCAGTGGAGGCAACTTTCCAGAAATAAATTAAACAATAAAAAAAAAACAATCTAATTATCAAGTTGTTTTCTGCACTACAGTCGCAAGTTGTTTTCTGGAACTCAATTTTCTGCACTACAGCCATTGCAAAATAACAAAAATATACAATGTGCCTTTAAATTATTTTGGAAAAAAATTGAATACCACCCCAGCAGGCAAATTACATTGATTCTACGTTGATTCAACGTTGATCCACCAAAATTAACGTTGATTCAACGGTGAATCAATGTCATTTGTCTGCTGGGACAGTGCAAGTCGTAAAGCATATCTCTTCTTCATGGTGAGAGAGAAATATGTTTTCCATTCATTTTCTAAAAATATGTACAGGGTACTGCTTCTCGATCAGAACATAGCTATTGTACATGTATAATACAAACAATATCATAAAATTCTTCCAAATGTAAACACCAGTACTGAAAAAATTAAGTTTGTTAATTGTTGTAAAACTTTGAGCGTGCAGATGAAAATGGGATTATGTATTGAACGTAAGCATGTCTTTAATTAAGTCATATGTGTGAAAGTATTTTACACGTTATCCCTTATATCAGTCTGCATAATTGCAGATGTGAAACACTGGCGACCCCCTGGCACTGAAGTACGTACACTGTAAATATTGAAGACGTTCTAAAACATTTTGTCAGTTTGCAGATGGCAAGGTGGAAGTTGTTATGTGTTGTCTTGTGTATTTTGAAGGCTTCTTTCAACTCTGTCACGTTATATGGATGGCCAGCCTTTATGTACATATTCATAGAAGGAATGTTTTACTTTTCCCGCTGTTATTTCGATTAGGTAGCCAGCGTTAGTTATAACTTGATGCGTTCTGATTGCAGTGGTCTTGTTAACTGCACGCAAGAAACAGTCGTAGAGGACCGCTTTCAGGGACGTAAGGACGAAGCGTGGGGAGGCGTGTGAGAGGCCGGTCGTACAAGACGTGCATGTTCACCTTTACTTTGCCAGTATCACACTTCTTATGTCTTCTGCCAACACAATCACCCTTTTACCCAGACAGGACGACAGGGAGAATAATCTTTCATACTTTCACTCTGTGTTGAAAACTGGGAGTTTTGCCTTACATTCGGCATTCGTGATATCTGCGTCAGTGAATTTCATAATCCGTTCTCAGAACTTGATTCTACTGACTAAATGTGAAAATGTTAATCTGTTATAACCTTCTTACCCTCAACCAAGAGTTGCAGAAGCAAGATACGTTTTCGCTACTTTCCAATATATGTGCGGTAAGGCTGAGACCTACAATACTTTGAAAATGCACGTTGACAAATGGATACATTGTATCATTAAAACAGTTGAATTACAGGTTTCCGTAAGAATATTTTAACAAGGCATTTGGAATACAAGTCACCATCAGTAGTTTGCTTACCCTTATTGAATTGCCAATATTTTTTTTCTGAAACAAGCACAGCTTGGACAGTAACCCATTCTGGGTATGTATAATATAACAACCATTGTTGGTATACATTATGGCATTATGTGTTCAGGAGTAAGAATACAATAGGTAATGCTTAAAGCGTGTGACTTCATCGTTGTACTTTATTATCCAATATACTTGACGACAGGCTTTCTGTTGTTTGGAAGGAAGTGTGGAAATAATACCTTAGAGTACATGTTGACTGTGGAAAACGAATGGCAAAATTCAAAATTAAAATAAATTATTTTGATAAGTTATACCTTTGACTAAATACCTTTTTTTTTGGGGGGGGGGTGCATATTATAAATGTATTTTTTTTTACATGAAAGCACAGTCAGTGAGACAACACTTACAGTAAAAATGTCAATTAATATTTTTATTCTCATTTATTTATTTATTTATTTATTTATTTATTTATCATCGTTTCATTTCATTTCATTTTTGCAGTTGGGAGTACTGTTCCTTGGAATATGCTTTATTGCCAGAGGTTTGTCTTTCTACATTTTTGGCATCAGTGCTGTTCCACGGGGTCTCTCAGCTATGCACAGTGTAGAACACTCAGCTTTACGGCTTACACCACTACACGTCACTTCCGGCAAAATTCTCACTAATGCTGATCTCCTCCGGTACCCCTTACTCACACTGATATGAAGAGGAAAGTCAGATATGCTAATCGTTGTCTGTATAAATGTAATGAAGTGCAGAGCCTGGATAGCCCCTAGGTAGCTACTATCGTCATACTGGTATATCATCATTCTATTAACGGCTTCACTTCTCTGGGCCACCGTTGTCAAAAACATAGCAAATGTGCTTGCTTCAAAGTACCTTACACAATAAATATATATCAAGAGTGAGTTTTCTGTTATCATTGAAACGCTGTACTTTTTCCAGCCAGGTCACGTATGTGAGCAAATACATTAGCACTCGAGATTGGGCTTATCGCCTCGACATTCACCTGACCCTTGCCTTAAAGTCCAGGCCCTTGTACTCCATCTAAACCGTATGTTTGCTGTACATGTACATGACAGTATGTCGGTCGGTGCTTGTTGGAAACTATTCTGTGTCGTACTTGGTATCTTAGAGGCTGCTGTCTACTCTGTCACGTTATACGGATGGCCAGCCTTCATGTACATATTCATAGAGGAAGGGTTTTATTATTCCCGTTGTGACTTCGATACTGTTACAAATGCTACTTATAACATGACGAGTGCTGATTGTTCTGGCCTTGGCAACTGCACACAAGACACAACCGGAGAGGACCATGTTCAAAAGTGCACCGAGCAGGAAGAAATGCTCAACCTGGTTTACACAATCGCTATTGTCAGTTTAGTGGCGCTTATTTTACTTGCTTACGTCTATGATCACTGTGGAACAGTCTGTTTGAGGATCATATCTATGTAAGTAGCGTCACATTTCATTGAAGCAGTTGCTACGCGTGGCTTGCTGAACGAATTTTGGTAAAAAACGATGTAATACTATAGTTAATTAGCACGTTTTTATGCTTTTAACAACGGCAAAGAAGGGCTAATTACTCTCATGGTGATATATAATGTCAAGTTTATATAACACAGCAAAAGAGCACTGTTTCAATTGACTCTTGCCATAGCCATTACGTTAATTAATTCTTCGTCTTGCTTTAAATGACCTCAGTGTTCTCTAATGAAAAACATGGGTGTCGCGCCACGTGCAGTCTTAACGGAGGGGTTAATTCAGAGAATAAATGTTGTTACCATGTATGTCTAATTAGGCAAGATGTTAAACCCCACCGCTTGGCTTGAATGTTTTATTGATAATTTAACCAGTACATTTGTTCATTATGTAAAGTTATATACTTGTTCAGTCACAAACTGGCAACATCGCTACCAACTAAAAAGGCACTCCGAGAGCGCAGACCTCCACCAGGGCAGCATTTATTATTATTATTATTATTGATTATCTATTGATAATTGATCCAGATCACCACCAAAAACTCATCATCTGTTTTTTGGCCCACTTCTGACAGTTCCTGAAAATTTTATTAAAATCGGTCCATAACTTTTAGAGTTATGTTGATGACAGACGGACAAACAGACAAACAAACAGGGGTGAAAACATAACCTCCTTGGCGGAGGTAATTAGAGAATAGTAATGCACCAATTGTATTGTTGTTAAAATAATAAAACATAATACTGTGCAAGGTCATGATCATATATGTGCTAGTGCAGAAATGTAAATAAAATTAAAATTAATTCCTGGCGTTTTCTTTCAGAAGCATGTGTGTTGGTGGAGTTATCCTGATGGCGTTGACTGAGAAAGGTATATATACAGACGATTTTACGGAAGGGTGGGTTATGGTGTTAATTAGGAGTAGTAAAGATACGACATTGATGATGAGGTCCAACTATTCACATTCTGAGCCCCTCAGGTCTGTTGTTTTATATTCACGACGTTCAGGGAAGTTGAGAATCGTGATTTAATGCTGTGCACGAAAAAATAAATAGATAAGTAAAAAAACAAGCAAAATATTATAACCATTAAATTATTTTATAATCAGAGACAATGGACATTTGCACTTTTAATAGGGACAGAAGGGCTGTTATTACCTGGGGCTGTATTTCATTTAATGGGAGGCTACCAGTTGGCTATAACTGACGTCCAGGTTGCGGTATTATTTCCGAAGCTAAAAGCGACACTCATCTGCTTGATTTCTGGTGCCATAGACGTTAGCGGTTTTGTCCCTATTTTGCTGAAGGTAATTAATGCACCACCTACCTTGGTGCGAGCGTGCTCTCTCTCTCTCTCTCTCTCTCTCTCTCTTTCACACACACACACACGCACACACACACACACACACACAGTGATAAAAATTAAGGCCAGAAATGCGCAGCATTCACGCGATACGCGAGGACGCTACAGTAGGGCTTCACGTGACTCAACTAGCCAATCACAGCACAACAATGGCGTCGCACACAGACTCTATGATAAGTGCTCGAGGAGCAGCCCATTGTCAAGTAGTGTTACAGGTAGTTCATTGTAACAAGCGTCTGACATGTGCAGAGTACTTTATTGTAATATATATTGTTCTTATTGTTACATTATTAAATCTAACTCTGTATCCAAGTAGTAACTATACTGTACCAAGTCAGATACTGATGATGTGCAGAGGTCATATATTCCAGAATAAGCCTTATTACCACTAATGTATAACTTTTATTTTTGTTTAATATGTTATTCATGAAAGAGTTCATGAAAGATTATTTTAAGTTGTTAAATCGTAATCTTATTCTTTTTATATTCAAATAAATGAATAATTTGGGTAAAATTGGTCTTCCACTTCTTTTTTCCATTTTTCCTTTACTACAAGATTATTTTGGAACCGTTGCAGCATTGAAAATTAAAATAAATAGCAATCTGAAAGAAGAGTTTTGCATAATTACTAAATGATGATAGAAATTTTGGATTAAGAGTATAATTAAATAGTGATATTGTCAGTCAATATATGCAGAATCTGATAATATGATTGAAAATACTGATTGAATTCGTGGCCTTGCACTGGGCAGTTTTACATTTGTGTCCTTTTTTTGGACTCCATATTACAGTGGTAAAAGTTCCACAATTGTCATGAAAGTTTTTAATCAGACTCTGTATGGTGCTGCCATCTACTGGTGCTATCGGCAACGAATTAGTTTGCCTTTGTTTCTGAGTAAATCACCGTCTAAAATCACTATTTCTGAAAATATTTGCGTTTTGCTGATGGAAGGCTAGGCAATGCACGGCAAACATCTTAGTACGTGTGTACAACAGATTTTTTTAACCCTAGCGATATTTGGCCAGGAGTTGCTTAAAGCATAGCACAGCGTTGCTGTCTATCGGCATTAGGCCGTTAGTTTCAATTATCACGAATTACCCACGAATCGCGAACCCATTCATTTTCCTATGGAAATCTAGCAACTCATTAAAAATGTACGCATGCGCAGTGGGCTAGACGTGACGCCATGCATCGCATTTCTGGGGATGGTTCGTGTGCGTGTTTGTCTCAAAAATATTCCGAAACTTGTGAATTATTTAGGCAAACAATGAGTCGACCAGCCAAGCGACTTTTTGGGGGTCTTCATTTCATTCAGTGAAATGTTTTTATCAAAGGCTATGATGAATACTAATATTGTAGCTGACTGAATTATTCACCTCGTTTGCCGTTTACTAACCGGTTTAGACTGGCAACATATGTAAGTTGTATTGCTTGCTGACTTGTATTACCACTTTCTGTCTCTGAATACGTAAATATAGGTTTATTGTAATTAAATTGTAGATGGCGTACCAGGCAGGAGTGTCGTACAAGATGTGCATGTTCACATTTGCCGGTATCATACTTCTAATATCTTCTGTGAACACAATCACCCTTCCACCTAGACAGGATGACGACGGGAACGACATTGACGCTGCTTGTTGTCTAAAGATTCTCAAAAGGCACAGATCCGCCGAAGTCTCTTCCAGACCTAGCACGGTACGTTTTGCTTATGGCAACGAAGCGAACGATCAAAATAGCGTGAATAAATCTTCTACAAACACACAATTTGGTGAGTATCAAATTATAGAAGAATATCGATTAAACTGAACATACGCACTGTTCATGGTCCTATACACGAAAAGCTTAAATTAGGGGTACTGATCAATGTTTAGAACCAACCCAAAGTTTATTTATTTATTTATTTATTTATTTATTTATTTATTGGCAACGCATCATACCTTTTTTGTGAAAAAAAACCGTAATTAATTGCCAGGCTGCACCACCAATCAAAATGACAATAGCTTTAATATTTACTAGGAGGCAAGCTTTCCTCTTATTCATCAAGGAGGGTTTCTCTGTCACCAAGTAGATGGGGACGCAATCCTGGAGAAAGCCCATGACAAAAATAACCATCATGCTGTAAGCATTAACACCAGTGATCAACAAGTGAAAAATGGCGAACACAGAAAAACGAGTATTGATCAAAGTGACCTGATGGTCCGCGAAGAAGAAAACCCTGACAGCAAAGATGTCGACGACAACACTAACACCAGTTTACTGCATGGAACGCTACTGCTCATCAAAAGGCCAACATTTTGGTTGCTCCTGTTCTGGTTTATATGCCAGGATACCATCATTGTCACTTACCAAGGTTGTTTTTACGCGATCATCAATTACTACGGAAACAATGTCAAAAGTACAGGTAAGATATTCATGTGTGTTTTTTTTATCCTATCTATCTTAAAGCACAGCGAAGGTGGCATAAATTGGGCATTATTGAATGACAAGAATGAAACATGCCCTTCAAAGTGTCTACAAGCCCAACATTTGGCTTTGTTTTGTTCAAAATGTTCTGCTGCGATTTATAAATATACCTTTAAAGTAAGGAAAGAAAAAAATATCAATAGTTCCCAAAAGAATTTGTTTCGAATCACTTGCCTAATTCCTAAAACGGATGATCATACACGTAACGTTCCAGGTAATTCTCTCTTCAAACGATTCTCATTAATCTTACTTTCGTTGAGAGAATAAACCTAAACGTTTTTAACCTGGGAGGGATAACGTTACAGCAACCCAGCGAAGGACCTCGGTAACTGACTCGATGATGTGAGCTTCAGAGGTTTCGACAAAAAATCCTCTTAAGTACAGATGTTCATTTTTCTGCCTTAAGCTATACACAAGAGACAATATAAAAACGTTTCAACTAACCTTATTATATTACAGTTAGTATGTACACGGACGTTTATTCCTGGTTTCAAGTGGTTTCTCTGTTCTGGGCCTTACCTACTGGTTTGATGCTAGACAAACTAATTGCCAGTTCAACAAAAGAAGGTAATTAATTGCTCTCTCTCTTTTTCTATCTCTCTCTCCACTAGTATATATATATATATATATATGTCAAAGGCCCTGACCAAATCTAGTCCCATGCATAAAAAGCCCAGACCCCATGTTTATTACGCCCTGGCTGGGCCCATTCTTTATGGTGTCTTTGCATTGTTAACAGCATAATGGGCAAGTTAAATGACCAAGTTAATTGGCCAAGCTGCCAGTTTGTTTGTGTATGTGCAGGGGGTGTCTTAGATCAAGGCACAAATGAAGCCCACCTTTAATTTAACATTTCTTTAGTAAATGTTATTTAATCAATCTACATGTCTTTTCTTTAAACATTAAACATCTTTAAAAGTATCATCCTCTGATGTATTTTACAAATCACAGGTAATGAAATACAAGTATAACTTATTTGCCACACCTGTAAGTATCATAATATGTGCCTTAATCTAAGACATCCCCTGCACATGCCATACAAACAAACCGGCAGCTTGGCCAATTAACTTGGTCATTTAACTTGCCCATTATGCCGTTAACAATGCAAAGACACCATAGAGAATGGGTCCAGCCAGGGTGTAATAAACATGGGGTCTGGGCTTTTTATGCATAGGACTAGATTTGATCCGGGTATTTGACATATATGTATCTTAGATCAATGTCTCTATCTATATGTCTATCTGTAATACTCCTATATATCTCTGGCTTCAACAATTTCAGTTGGTAATGGATATGCTATACTGAACTTGTGCATAGTATTAAGAAGCAAACATATGATTCAAGTAAAAATGTTATTTTCAATTCAATTTCAATTTATTTCTGCACTAGTACATTATTATATACTCAATTTATATATTATATATTCAACTTATTTCTGCACTGGTACATTATTATATACTCAATTTATATATTATATATTCAACTTATTTCTGCACTGGTACATTATTATATACTCAATTTATATATTATATATTCAAATTATTTCTGTACTGGTACATTATTACATACTTCAGCACATTACTATATACTTCAGACAAAGAGCGATGCTTCATGGTTCCACTATCCCTGGCGATTTTTGTTGGCATCGTAGTATCCATTGCGTGCATTATCCCAGTTATTGAGATGCACTTTGTGGCTATTTTCTTTCATTCTGTATTGAAAACCGGGAGTTACGCTGTGCATATGGCCTTCGTTGCATCTGTGTAAGTAAATATGGTTATGCTTTCGAAGTACTTGATTGTACTTGGTTATACGAACTTCATTTTTTTGTGTCGTGAAGTTCTTTATTCTCTCACCAAAAGTGACTGTTTACATTTGTTTAATTTATCAACTAATTATAGTTAAGGTAAATAAATAAAAAGTGGGACTTTGCATTCGTATCGTTCAAATTATACTAGGTTTCCAAAGGAACATTTTGGGAAGGCATATGGAATACAAAATACCGTTGGTAGTTTGGTGAACTTTATTAATATACCAATATTCTCCTGGTACAAGTACGACCTGGAAAGTGACCCCCTTTGGGTATGTATAAAATTTATTGTATACATATAGACATTCCATTATGTATTCAAATAGGGAACAGAAGGAGATTTAACAAAATGTCGAATCGTTCTACTAAATTATTCAATCATGATAGGCTATTGGCTGTTTTGTTATTAATATTCATTTATTTATTCATTATTTTATTTTATTTATTTATTTGTGAAGAGGTATTGGTATGTGGAGTAGTGAATGTTGAGGTATTTAAACTACAAATCCACAGTAAAGCTTAAAAATAATTTGTCCAGTCTACAGTTACCGAAATTTGTGAGGATTATATAATTTTAAAAAAAATGTATTTCCCATGGCATTGCCATCGACATGACACATATTTACAGTAATTTAATGGCACCATTTTATGATAGTAAGCATTTTCTTCTTGTTTTGTAGCTTGGAGTACTGTTCCTGGGAATATGCTTCACGGCCAGCAGTTTGCCTTTCTACCTTCTTTGGCGTCAGTGTCGCTCCACAGAATAACAACTACATGTACATGACAAAGGATTGTGAAGCGACTTTGAGGTACAGGTAGTGGCAGTGGCCCGGAAGCTATGACCGGATGCCCATTGTTCTAGAGGACATTTGCACAAACACGATCCATTGAGTGCTGTAGGCCGTGAATTACAATCGGATGCCAGTTTTTGCCTATTATGTTTTTGTTTGTTTGTTTGTTTGTTTGTTTGTTTGTTTGTTTCAGGAAATATGAGTCTTTTTAAATTAAAATTACAATGCTTAATCAAAAAGTATTATTTGGGCTTATTATTGTTAAAATCAGATGTACGTGTTTTTATAGGAGATAATTATATGCGTTACATTTTATTTTGCCTCGTTCAGATTAAAAGAAATAGGGTCAAAACATGGAGCACATGGAAGTTATTATGTTAAAACCCAATGTCCCTCGCAAAATAAATCTAAAGCAATATCAGCTTCGATTGCAGCAGAGGCGATCAGTTCTTTCTCCTCCAGATGGCGCTTGAGTACGGTTTGGTTTGAAAACTATTAAACACTGTTCAGTTGAAAGGGAGTGGTGGACCATATACGGAAAGCCTGTGACCTACATAATGTAGGTGGGTTAGCGTATGTTATTCGTTTACATTTTCCATTATGTGGAACACAAATGTAGGCTATTTATTTTTATTTTAGTTGATTGTAATACCAAAACCCAGCTTCCTAAAAATGGTACGTGTTGAACAGAAAAGGCACTCACTCCACCCTGTCTCCCCCTTGTTGTGAACCGTCTAAAATGACTTTAACTTTAATTTATAACTGTACTGAATTCCAGTGTATCAATTTCCATTAACGAATTAACTAATCTATGGGCTCCGACATGACTCCAGATTCGACTCAGTCTTTCACTTTACGTGCACAGAGAAGCATAACAGAACAACCTCACATCTTCAGTCTCAGATCAAAAGTTTGACCTCGTTTTTTGGAAATTCACATTTATCAGATTTTATTTTCAGATTGGCCTTTCTGAACCTGTCCAAAACTAAACGCAAATGTTTCACATGATCTTCCATATTCTTTGAGTAAACTGTGCAATCATCTATGTAGATGTTACAGCATTTGCCGATTAAGCCTGATAAAACTCGATCCACGACGGCCTGAAAATGATTTGGACCGTTAGAAAGCCCAAACGGCACCCTTTTATATTCAAATAAACCGCGATGGCAAATGAAAGCTGTTTTATTCATGTCCGCTTCGTCAAGAGTAATTTGATTGAAACCATGTTTCAAATCAATGACTGAAAATACCGTCGCGCCTTCCATGTTATTAAAAATATCGTCAATGAGCGGCAAAGGATATCTGTCAATCTTGGTAATTGCGTTAACCTTGCGGTAATCTACACAAAATCGCATGGATCCGTCGGCTTTAGGAGATAGCACTACGGGGCTACTCCACTGACTGTGGCTCGGTCTGATAATATCGTTTTTGAGAAGATATTCTATCTCTTTATCAATTATCTCTCTTTTCGCGAGCGGTGTGCGATATGCCCTCTGTTGGACCGGCGCGTTGTTTCCCGTGTCTATTATTATCGGCATAATGTCGCATTTTCCTAATGAGTTTTCACTAGTGCTGAACACGTCGCGATATTCACGTATCACTTCATCTATTTCTTTGTGTCCCGATAACGGCGGGAGTTTAACAATTTCCGGGATAAGACCTTCACGGCTATAGTCAGTTAGCGGCCATTCTTTCTCAAACATTGTCATCTTTTTTTCAGCGAAATTTATTCGTGCATTTCCTAGGTTAAGCAAGTCAATACCGATGATCATTTCATGTTCAATTTTGTCAATCACAATCACCTCACAAACACCAACACCATCAATTTTAACATTTGTTTTCCCTTTCACCGCAAGTGTTTCTCCCGACACTGTGTATATCTCTTTTGAGTTGTCTAATAATCGACTTCTTCCAGTCGCTTTACAAATTTTCAGGAACTGATCTAATCCTAAACAAGTAACACATGCCCCTGAATCTACCAAAGCCTTACATCTAACACCACTAATGGTGACTGCTAAACCCAGTCTACCGCTGGACTTATTTGAGGTGATTCTTGCTGCATCAATTTTTCTCGTATTTTGTTGTGCTTTTAACTGTCCGCATTCTAATTTTTTATGACCTGGTCTGTTGCAGTAAAAGCATATGGGAGTTTTGCGTTTATGTGTTTGTGGACGCTGTTGTATGCGATACCTTCCCTTGTTGTGCGTATTTTGTGTGTGCCAGCCAGCGTTTACGTGTGGA